ATACGTTCGAGGCTGGTTAAGAGAGGGCGATGGATTGCAAAAAAAAACAGGATTGCAAAAAAACCCTCGCTGTTTTGCAATCCTTCGTGTTTACAATCCTTCGTTTTTTTTGCAATCCTTCGTTCAAGGGAGGAGCACCCCTTTTTGTCTCTGCCTCGGCAGCCCGTCCTCTCAGCGGCCTTCGCCGGCCGGCCTTTCTGGGCGCCCTCTGGGCTGGCAACACCCCTGGGCTGCACGGCGCGGCGCTCCTCTGGGAAGGCGCTCGTTCGGGAGTCACCACCCACCAAACCACCCCAACCCAACCCGAAGGCTCAAATTTACGGTCGATTTCCAGTGGGGGGGGGTCGGGGAACATCGAGAAAACACACATGGAACCCGTACCCCCCCCCAACCCGAAATGCGGGTCTTCGGGTTGGGGTGGGGTGGTCTGGTAGGTAGTCAGGGAGGAGGGGGAGATGAACGGGCGTTATTGGCTCGTTCTTGACTAACTTAAGTGGTTCTTGCCTACTTCTCAGGGCATGGCCACGGCGCAAGGTGTATGGTGGGTTCCTGCCGCGTGGACGCGGCGACAACCCCAGCGAGGGAGGTCGAGGTTGAACGGCGCCAGTGGCCCAGAATCGACCTTGAACGATCTGCGCCGTCGGAAAGGCACTTTCAAGGTTGAACCATCCCGTCGCCGACGTCATCGCGACGTTACGCTACCGTAGACCGTCGACCATCATTCAGGAGATCGTCGGGTCACCATGGGAAAGATCGATCGTGACGCTATCCACGTCCACCTTGGCTCAGGCATCCCAGTCCGCATGTTGCCACTGTCCATGGACATCATCCGAGGAATCACACAGAATGTACATGAACTTTCGGTGGTCCAAGGTGATTCCTCTCGCCCCGCGTGGTGCACATCCCGGACCGCGGAGAGCACGGGCGTTTCGGGTTTCTCCGAGTATGCACAGTTAAGTCTTTGAGGTGACTCCTGCGAGCCTACTGGGGGAGTCTTGGTCAGGAGGGGAAAAAACACACAGACACAATTCATCGTCCTGTCCCAGGAAAATATAGGGAATTATGGGAAGTGGGGGGGAAGACAAAAACCCAGAAAATATAAGAAAATATGGGGGATCCTTTTACTTGTGTGTATTTCTTTGTGTGTCCCAGGGCCCCTTCACTTGCGTCGTCCTGGGGCGCTCTTGCGCCGTCTGGATCCTTTGGAGCGCCCCCGCGCGGGCCTCCTGAAAGCCTCGTGGGGCCTCGACGGGCCTCTCGGGCCGTGCTGAGCCGTCCTGGGGCCCAGTGTGCGCCTGTGTGGATCGGAGGTGGGAAAATCTCCTACCCTGTCACGTCGATTGAGGAGTTGGCCGTTTTCGGTCCGCGAGAGGGCGTCGCGGCCGTCATTTTTGCGGGTGCCGGTCCGTCGGTTTCGGTCCCAGGCCGTTTTCATTGAGGGGAGGTTTACTAGAGGGAGGTTTGTCCACCGCCGAGTGGAGCGTATCAGCGCCTGGCGACCTGAACGCGTAGGGCATGGACATGGGGGGGTCTCGTGGGAGGCGTTTGGAGCCCTCTCGGGGGCCCGCTGGGGGCACACTGGGCCCTCGTCGGGGATTCTCGCGGGCTTCTTTGGGCACCGGAAGGGCGCCTCGAGCTGTCCTCGGGCCGTATGGGGCCGTCGGGGCCTTTTCGGAGGCCGTCTGGGGTGCCTCTCGGGGCCGCCTTGGGGCTCCTTTCGGGCCCTCTTGGGCCATCTTCGGGGCCTCTTGGACCGTTTTGGGAGCCTCATGAGGCCATCTTGAGGCCCTCTGGTGCAGTCTGGGGGCCCTCTGGGAGGCCTCATGGGCCGTCTTGGCGCCATCTTGGAGGCTGCTTGGGCCGTCATGTGCCCGCGTGGGCTGAAAAAAGAAAACCCTAAAAAGTAGCAAACAACCGCAAGAACAGACAATGTTTTTGACTTCTGGGGGCGCTGTGGGGTGCCTCCTTGGGGCCCTCCGGAGCTGTCTTTGGGGCTTCATGGGCTCTCTTGGGGCCGTGTTGGAATTGTCTTGGGCCGTTTTGAAGACAGGTTGTGCCGCTTGAAAGCCCCTGTGGACTCCGAGGAAGCCAAAGAAGCTATCATATTGTTTTTGTTCCACAGGTTTTTGCAAGAACATGCCAGACGCGACGAAACGGGTCGGCACCTCGGCGCGGGCCTGGGGGGGGAGTTCAGGGGGGTGCTTTGCAATGCGTAGGAATGCAACATTGTGCACTTGGTCTTCCTGGACGTCTCCTGGCGTGGCCCTTGCGTCAAACACCCGTCCAGTCGGACTGCCGAGACGCTTCGCTGCGGAGGTCCAAGGTGATTCACTGCCTACGCACCGCCGACCCCGTAGATCTCCTGGATGCCGAGATCATATTTGGTCATCGGGAGTAAATTAAGGTGATGTGATTAGTCTCCTCTTCCTCCTCTGTCTTCTCCTCCTTGTCCTCCTGTCCCCCACTTCTTCGCCCTGAGAGCGTGAAGATCGCTCGAAGCAGTTTGAAGCCGTTTGGGGGCAGTTTGGGAGCCGCCAGGGGACTCGTTTGGGCCTCTTGGGAGCCTCTCGAGGCCCTCCTGGGCCGTCTTGGGCGCCTCTTGGGCCGTCTTAGAGCCATCTTGCTGCGCTGTCTTGGGCCCATCTTGGGCCCTCCTGAGGCCATCTTTGGCTGTCTTGGGCCCCTCTTGGGGTCCCATTCGACTGTCTTGGGCACCGCCTGTGCCGTCCCAATCCCGTCTGGGGCAGTCCTGGGGCCCTCCTGAGGTATTCTTGGCCCGTCTTGGGTCGATCTCGAAGGCCTCGGCCTCTGAGGTAGTCTTGGACGCTTGGAGTGACAATGATACCCGAGACGTACCCAACTCCTTCTCCGCGCGAGCCGAATATTTGTGCGAACGGTCCATACAACATGACACATCGCCAGATAGGCACGATCTGCGCTACCCTCACCTCTCCGCCGTGCCTCCCAGGAGCCCACGAAAGTGGCGACAGTTGCCCAGTTCGTAGTCACCCAGGAAACAGCGAGATCCCGTCTGGGTCCGCGTGGCCCTCGACTCCGCTGGACCTCCCAGGAGCCCGCGAAAGTGGCGACAGTTGCGCAGGTTGCAGCCGCCCAGGAGGCAGCGAGGTCCCGTCGGAGTCCGCATGGCCCCCGACTCCACTGACAACGACGACGACGACGACGACGACGACGACGACGACGACGACGAGTCAAACGAAGCAGCGTCTCGCACACCCCGACAGGGTCGGCGGATCTTGCCTTGTCAGGGCCTTCGTCAGGGTCATCCTGCAGCTTTCTGAAGACATCTTCGAGGTTTCTGGAGCTGTTCTGAGACCATAGTGGGACTTCTTGGGACCATCTCACCACCCACCAAACCACCCCAACCCAACCCGAAGGCCTCAAATTGCCTTCCATTTCCGGTGGAGGGGTCGGGGAACAATGTAGAAACACATGGGACCCGTACCCCCCCAAACCCGAAATCGGGATCTTCGGGTTAGCTTGGGGTGGCCTGGCAGGAAGCCACCATCTGGGGCCTCACGGAGAACGTGGCGAGGCACCGCGGAGGCCGCGGAGGCCATGCCGAAGCCGTCGGAGCCCGTCTTTGGAGCAGGGCCGAGGCCGCTGGCACCGCCCGCAAATTTTGTCCCCCCACCTCCCTCCAAGCCGGCCAGGCCGAGCTCCCTCCTCCTCCTCCTCCTCCTCCTCCTCCTCCTCCTCCTCCTCCTCCTCGGGGAAGTGCTGGGGAGGGGCAGCATTGAACAGTGGGAAACCGGCCCCAGCCCCCACAGCACTGGATTTTACACGTCAGCGTTTTGCCATTACACGTGGCGAGTGTGCGTAGCGGTAGGCGCCCTGTCAGCGAGGCCATCGCCAGCTGCTGCAGGAGGGGGGGCCGTGCGCGCGGTCTGGCTGGTCTGAGGTTCCTCATGTGGGGGGGGGGCGTGGGGCGGTTTTCATGTGTGCAAACATCTCACACGCCGAGTGTTCAAGGTGATTTCCCGCCTGCACCCCGTCCCGCCCTCCGGCCGCCTGAGGCCCCGCCCGCCTGTGCCCTGTCTCCCCAATTAGAGCTGTGCGTAGCCCGCCTAGCTTTTACAGGAAGAGGTTCGCTCTCGCCCCGCAGACCAAGAAATGTGGGGAGGGCGGGGGGCGGTTTTCATGCGCTCAAACATCTCGCACGCCGAGTGTTCAAGGTGCTCTCTTGCATGGGCGCCAGAGCCCCCCCGCGTGCGGAGCGCGCCAGGGGGCGGCGGCGGAGGCGCCGCGTCGGGGGCTCTCCAGCACCGATCCAAGAAGTCCGCGCGGTGCTAGATCCGCCACGCCGAACGACCCCCCCTGTGTTGCCCAGTAGCACGTGGTGGCTAGCTGCCTGGCCGTGAGGTGCCCTTCCTTATATTGCGAAAGCAAACATTTCCGAAGCCTCCCACCACCAGCTCTGACTTCATCACTTATCGGCGCCGCCTGCTCAGGAGGTGGACCCCTCGCTAACAACTCAGCAGCGGCAACTCTGGAACGGGATGTCCATCTGGGTCACCCCACGGGGCGCGAAAAGCACCGCGCTTCGCGCGCCGCGGCTTGGGCTGGAGAGCCGCCCTTCTCCAGGGCGGCCTAGCGGGGCGCGAAGCCAGCCGCGCCTCGGGCACCGCGGGGCGCAGTGCGAGCGAAGTTCGGGGACCTGCTTTCCGCCATCTGTTGTTCCTCGAGCTTGGGCGCCTCGTAAACTCAGGGGCGACGTTGAGGGGGGGGGGCAGAGACTCGGGGGGTAACGCGTCGACCCTCAGTCGCCCACTGACCGCTGATGGGGGTCCGACGGTCCGCCCTGCCCAGGAACGTGCGGACTCGCCATCTTGGGCCCACCGCCGACGTGTCGGCGATGTGTCGCCGATGGCAGGTCGATGCTTCCCCTCCTGAGCTGGCCACCCCCCCTGCATCGATGCCCCTCCCAAGCAGACTTCGGAAGCCACAGCTCCGTGATGGCCGCGGCCTGGCGGTCGGCCCTTCGGCACGGGGCGCACGATGCCCGCGGCCCACTGCTGCCCGATGCCTGGTGGTACTGGCCGCACGGCGCCAGCAACGGCCCGCGCGCGCGGGCGGGAGCAGCCGCGGCGCCCTGGTACCAGGCTCGGGGAGCACCAACTGCAGTCAGCCCGCATGGTAAGGACGGGCAACATTCCCATACCCTTGCATCCTTGCCTCCTCGGCCCATCCTTGGCCGCGTTCGCTGGCCGCGCCCCGCTCGAGAAGCCTCGAAATGGGCTTCCTAGGCCCCTGCATCCTCATCGCGCATCCTTGTGATACGAGCCGACTGTATGCACCTGCACCGACCCGGGCCAGGCCGATCTTCGGCCCAGGGTGAATTTTGCCAGGATATCGGTGTGTGTATGTGTGTATGACAACGGACGACGTCAATGACAACGGATGACGACGGACGACGACGAACACGACGACGCAAGCCGACGACAACGACGACAACAGACGACGGTGACGACGACCGACGACCGACGACGGCGACGACGGCGGCGACGACGACGACGACGACGACGACCGACGACAACGACGGCGACGGACGACGACGATGACGACGGACGACGACGACGACGACGACGACGACGACGACGACGACGACGACGGACGGCGACGGACGACGACGACGATGAGACGACGACGACGACGACAACGGACGACGTCGACGACAACGACGACAGACGAACACGGCGACGACGACGACGACGGACGACGTCGTTTACAACGGACGACGACGAACGCGACGACGACGACGACGACGACGACCGACGACAGCGACGGCAACGGACGACGACGACCGACGACCGACGACGACGACGACGACGACGGCGACGGGCGACGACGACGACGACGACGACAACGGCGAGGACGGGCGACGAAGACGACGACGGCGTCGACGACAGACGACGATGACGGCGACGACGGACGACGACGACGACGACGATGACACCGGACGACGTCGACGACGACGGACGACGACGAGCACGACGACGACGTCGACGACGACCGACGACAATAGACGACGACGGCGACGACCGACGACCGACGACGACGACGACGACGACGACCGACGACGACGACGACGGACGACGACGACGGCGACGACGACGACGACGACGGACGACGACGACGACGACCGACCGACGACAACGACGGCAACGGAAGACAACGATGACGACGGACGACGACGACGACGACGACGACGACGGACGTCGGGCGACGCCGACGATGAGACGACGACGGCGACGTCGACGATGACGACGACAACGACGACGGACGACGACAACGACGACGACGACAACGGACGACGTCGACGACAACGGACGACGACGGACGACGACGACGACGACGACGACGACGACGACGACCGACGACAGTGACGGCAGCGGACGACGACGACGACGACGACGACGACGACGACGAGGACCGACGACGGATGACGACGACGACGACGACGGACGACGTCTTTGACGACGACGACGGCAACGACAAGCACGAACGACGAAGACGACGACGGCGTCTACGACGGACGACGATGCCGACGACGACGGCGACAACGGACGACGACGACGATTGCAACGGACGACGTCGACGACAACGGACGACGACGAACACGACGACGACGACGACCGACGGCAACGACGACGACGGACGACGACGACAACGACCGACGACCGGCGACCGACGACGACGACGACGACGACGGTGGCGACGACGACGACGACAATGATGACGACGACCGTCGACAACGACGGCAACGGACGACGATGAGGACGACGACGACCGACGGTAACGACGGCGACGGACGACGACGACAACGACCGACGACTGGCGACCGACGACGACGACGACGACGACGGACGACGACGACGACGGTGACGACGACGGCGGCGACGACGACGACGACGATGACGACGACGACCGACGACAACGCCGGCAACGGACGACGATGCGGACGACGGACGACGACGACGACGGCGGCGGACGACGACGGACGACGATGACGATGATACGACGACGACGACGGCGACGACGACGATGACAACGGACGACGTCGACGACAACGGACGACGACGGCGATGAGACGACGACGATGAGACGACGGACGACGACGACGACGACAACGGACGACGTTGTTTACAACGGATGACGACGGACGACGACGAACACGACGACGACGACCGTCGACAGCGACGGCAACAGACGACGACGACGACGACCGACGACGACGACGACGACGACGACGACGACGACGGCGACGGACGACGACGACGACAACGACGACGGACGACGATGACGGCGTCGACGACGGACGACAATGACGACGACGACGGCGACGACCGACGACGACGACGACGACGATGACAACGGACGGCTTTGACGACAACGGACGACGACGGACGACGAATGCAACGACGACGACGGACGACGACCGACGACAACGACGACAACGGACGACGACGACCACGGCCGACGACCGAGGACTACGACGACGACGCCGACGGACGGCGACGACGACGACGGCGGCGACGACGACGACGACGACGACGACGACGACCGACGACAACGAGGGCAACGGCCAACGACGGTGACGACGGACGACGACCATGGATGACGACGGACGACGACGACGATAAGACGACGACGACGACTACCACGACAACGACGATGACAACGGACGACGTCGACGACAACCACGACGGACGACGACGACGACGACGACGACGACGAACGCGACGACGACGACGACGACGACGACGACGGACGATGTCGTTTACAACGGACGACGACGGACAACGATGACGACGACGACGACGACGACGACGACGACGACGACGACGACGACGACGACGACGACGACGACCGACGACAGCGCTTACAGCGGACAACGACGATGACGACCGACAACCGACGACGACGACGACAACGACGGCGTCGGCGTTGACGTCGTCGGCGTCGTCGCCGTTGTCGGCGTCGGCGGCGTCGTCCTGTTCGCTGGCGGTCCGAGGATGCAACTGGGCCGCCGGAAGCAAAAATTGGGATTCGCCAGAAATTGGCATTGGTCCAGGGGTTGGGTTCCCCCAAGCCCTGGACCAATTCGCCATTTTGAGCACTTTCTGGAAGAGCCTTCCCAGAATCCTTTCTCGGAGGGCCTCAGCCTTCTATGAAGCGCGCCGCCTGATGGCCCTCCCCCCCGCGCCACCCCCCGTGTGCGCGCCGCCGACGAGGTCCGGATGGCAGCGGTGTGGGTACCCAATCCAGCGCCTCGTGGGATGGCAGCGTGTCCCGCCCGAAGCCCGACTGGCGCCTGCACCGGCTTCGACCCGCTTGCGCCCGCCGATCTTACATAAGAGTTCGTGGGATGGTTGCAGCCGGAGCCCGCGTCGAGTTTCAGACTGGGTCTCGTCATTTTTCTGAAAACGTTGTTGAGTCAGCATCGGTGAACTTGTCCTTATCCCCACTGGCCCACGGCACCTCGGCCCCAGCATGCCGCCACCCCGGTTGGGGATGGCTCCTTCGAGGCCCGAATGAAAAGGTCTGTATCCCCATCTATGGGGTAGTTCGGCCAGTGGGGCCCAGGCCACGCCGGCGGGACAGGGATCAGTTGAGGAGTGAGGCGCGAGGAGTGAGGAGGAGGAGTGAGGAGGAGGAGGAGGAGTGAGGAGGAGGAGTGAGGAGGAGGAGGAGGAGGAGGAGGAGGAGGAGGAGGAGGAGGAGGAGGAGGAGGAGGAGGAGGAGGAGGAGGAGGAGGAGCCTTGTCAGGACATGTGGGAGCCGGCACGGAGCCCCACGGCGGCACCGGCATTGAGCAGCAGGCCCAGCGGTGCCCCCGGTGCCGGCAGCGGCGGGCCGGGCGGCGGCGACGGCGCAGCTCCGCCGCTCGAGGCCCCCGCGAAGCCGGTCAGTCTCGACGGCTATGTAGTCGAGGTGAACGGCCAGATGTCGAGGAACTCGGGCGAAGATAATTATGCACATGCACCGATCCTGGCAAGGCCCATCTTTGACCCAGGATCGGTGCATATGCCTTCCTGGCCAAGGTAGGAGGACGTATGCACCGATCCTGGGCTCAGGATGGGCCTGGCCAGAATCGGTGCATGTGCATAGTTCTTTTTCCTCTAGGAACCGAAAACAGCGTAAACACAGTTTTTCGGAGCTCCGCGCGGATTTCTCGGATCGGCGCCGGGCCCCCCCGGCGGCGCCTCCGGCGCCGTTTCTGGCGCGCTCCGCGCGCCAGGCAGGGGGGCCAGCGCCGATCCAGGACAGCTGCGCGAAGCTCCGAAATACTGTTGCATCTTCGGGAGACCTCGCCTGTCCCAAAAAGTGGTGTCTTTTTGGGGGCCCGACGCGTGCTCGATGCGGACTCGACGCGGATTTGGCGTTGATTCGACGGGGATTCGACACGGATTCGACACGGATCCGACGCGTCCGACATGGATTCGACACGGATTCGACGCGGACAGGGCCGCGACGGGACAGACAAGGTCCCCCGAGGATGCAACATAACCGAAAGTTTACTTGCGTGCCGTTTTTTAATTCCCCGAAGAGGTTCTTCGCGGCGGACAGCGTCAGTGACCAGGCGCCCTCGCCCGAAGCGCAGCAGGCGCGAGCCTCGAGCGTTGACGGTGGTGGTTCGGCCAGTGCCGCGCACGCGCCAGGACGGCAGGCCCAGCGCCGCTACCAGACCCAGCGCAAGAAGCGTCAGAGGTCAGTGAAGGGAAAAGATGCCGATGCCGATGCCGCTTCCTCCCCGCCACGGCCAGATTCGCCTCGAAAGCGCTGAGAGGAGGCACCCTGGGAGAGGTCGGGGGAGCAGCGGTATGGGTATCTTTCTGTCCTTCCTAGAGGATGATCAAGAAGAAGATCAGGCGCGGTCAAATCCTGGTAAGCACCGCCGAGCCGCCTCCAGTCTCAGCGGCGCCGACGAGCGCCGAGGGCGCGACACTGTTGCGGGCGAACGGCGAAGTACGCGCCAGGGAGCCAGGCTGCGAGCGGAAGCGGGACGGCGAGCAGGTGTTGGCGGAGGTGACGTGCTCTTTGTCAGCGCCGGCCTGCGATCTGCTCCCCGAGACCCGCTGGTTCGGCGGCAGGACTGGTGCGATCTGAGTGGGCACGGAGAGGAGGGGGGCGGAGGCCGACGGCAGTTCCTGTTCCTTTTGAGCAGGGACTCGTTGTTGGCATTGCTGCGGACGTGGTCCACTTGAGACAGGCAGCTAGCCGCTCAGCAGCGGCCGCTGTCGGTCGTGGACAGCGTCTACTGTTCGCCACCCCGCCCATGCCCGCTCGTGCCCAGCTCGGTCGTGCCAGCAGGAGGTTCGGCGAGGGCGGTGCAGTGGACACGGTGGACACGACAGAGTTCTCTGTGTAGGGTCCGCGCGGGGCGCGCGGGGCCAGCCAGGCTGGCGACGTCGGCGGGGCTGCGGGCTCCTCGCGCGTGCCGCCCTCCACGTGGCGTAGCGGGCAGACTCCCGGCTGGGGTCCGATGAGGTCAGCATGTCGTCTGTGCGGGGCCTGCGGCGCGCGGTGGTGGAGAGACGTGCGGTTGTCTGTCCAGGAGCAGCGCGCGGTGGGGGAGCGACCGCTGCGGCCTCCGCGGGAACTGCGAGATCCAGAGGTGATCTTGCGTGTGTCTGTCTGTCTGTCTTTGTGGGCAGCGCGGCTTTTACGTAGCGCACTCAACTGAGAGGAGAATGAGGAGCAGGAGGAGGGGGAGAAGGTGGGAGGCAGCACTTGCAGAGTTTTAATCTTGAAGGTCTTCTCGGCACTACGTCCTCTATGCACATTCGTTCCCCCAACAATTTCCAACGCTTTAGGGCCGCCTCGCTTCCGTCCGATCCCAGTGGTGGCAATGCCTGCTCGGTCAGAGAAGGGAGTGCGGACAGGCATGGTGGCCCTCATTCCTCACGCCGGTGCTCGAAGCAGAGAAAGCGGCGTGTCAAACTTTTAGAAACTCCGCGCGCATTTGGATCTGCGATGGGGGCCCCTCGTTGCACGTGCACGTGCTGCGGGTGTAATTTATTTTACCGTTGCCAGTTCTGGTCTGCATGCGCACGTTTTTTCTCCAAACGCACCTGTTCCTGTGTCCTTCCGCTTCCGGATAGGGAGATGGTGCGAGTTTTGTGAAGTTACGAGTTCTCTTTGCCGCAGACGGAGTCCCATTTCGCCCCTAGCCAGTGCCTCCTCCGTTTGGCCTTTGCTACCTGTCCTCGTCATTCTGTCATGTTCGATCAGAAGCAGTCGACTTTCGATGTTAAATTTGTAACAGCCCGAATTTCCGCCCTGGGGCCCCTGGGGAACCTGGCAACGTACACAGTTTCGACTCCGGGCTGACCTCCAGTAATTATCTGGATCACCTCAGGCATCAAATTTGACCGTCTGCCTTCGGACCAGAGGATTTGTTAAACCAAGGAAAGAGCGCGTTCTGTGGTTGCTTGGAGGGGGGGCGTTTGGAACCGGACCCCCCCCGACCCCCCGTGACAGAGGGGGGGGTTCGAACCCCCCCACCCCTCCCCCTCCTCCCGTACTTCTCCTCTCTCCCTCTCCTCGGGCCGGCGCCTGCGTCGGCGGCGGCTGGCGGCGGCGGCGGAGACGAAAACTTCTTTTTTGGGGCCGGCGCCTGCGCCTGCGGCGGCGGGCGGCGGCGACGGGGAGCGTCGACGAGGACGACGACGATGACGACGACGACGACGACGACGACGACGACGACGCTCCGCCACCGTCCCTTGGTTTTGGGTCAGAGTCCTACTGGATGCCTCTTGGGGTCTCGTCGGAGGGCTCTCGGGGGCCTCTGAAGAACATTTGTGCAGCCTCCTGGGCGCCTCTTGGGCGTCTTTTGGGGCCTCTCTGAGGCGGTGGTGGTGATGGTGGTGGTGGGCTGTCGTGGTGGTGGTGGTGGTGGTGGTGGTGGTGGTGGTGGTTGTGGCGGTGGTGGTGATGGTGGTGGTGGCGGTGGTGGTGGTGGTGGTGCGGTGGTTTCTTGTGGTGGTGGGTGGTGGTGGTGGTGGTGGTGGTGGTGGTGGTGGTGGTGGTGGTGGTGGTGGTGGTGGTGGTGGTGGTACTTGTGGTGGTGGTGGTGGGGTGTTAAGGTGGTGGTGGTGGTGGCGGTAGTGGTGGAGTGGTTGTTTTTCGTGGTGGTTGTGGTGGTTGCGGTGGTGGTAGTGGTTGTGGTTGTGGCGGTGGTGGTGGTGGTGGTGGTGGTGATGGTGGGGTGTGGTGGTGGTGGTGGCGGTGGTGGTGGTTGTCGTGGTGGTGTTGTGTCTTCTTTCCATGCTTCGAATTGAAGGGCATGTGCGTGCACACTTGCGTGCACGCTGGACTCTACCAGAACCGTATTGGTTCCGACATCTCAAGATGAGGATATAAAAGACAGCGCGATGTTATCCATCCTTGTTGGGTCAGTTCCGTGGAGCCCCAGTTCCACTAGCCATCAAGGCCCGTTAACATTTAAAGTCCTTGCAGCACATGTGTGTACACATCTATGTATATCCGTAAGGGCTTCGCCCCCTGCCGCCGGCCCCCTATCTATCATAATGGGATACATCAGAGCTATGTTGGGATGTCTGGGCGCCGTCTTGATGCCATTCGGGGCCGTCATGCTAGGGCTGCTGGCGATGAGCAAAACATATCGAGATTCTGAAATCATTGTTGAACGCTTTGTTGTCTTCTTAGAGCATTTTCCTCCAGTTGTTCATTGGAAGCGCCCTGGGAAGGGCTGGGGATTGATTGTTTCAGGCAGTATTTGGGGACATTGCAGTTTTTCTGCTCACGAGAAGGAGTGTCGCCTTTGGGCAGCCTCCGCACGGTGGTTTCGTAGCCTGGGGGTGCGCATCCAGCGTAATTTACGACGGATCGTGGCATCGAGGGTGCGAATGTGGCGTAATTTATATGGGATCGTGGCCTGGGGGACGCGAGTTCGGCGTAATTCACTAAGGATCGCGTGGCCTCGGGGGCGCGATTGCGTCGTAATTTACAAGGGATCGTGGCCTCGGGGGCGCTCATGTGGCGTAATTTAAAAGGGGTCGTGGCCTCGGTGGCGCGAACTTTGCGTAATTTAAGAGAAATCGTGGCCTCGGGGGCGCGAGCGTGGTGTAATGTACGAGGGATCGTGGCCTGGGGGGCGCGAATGTGGAGCCCACCGCCGAATTTTCAAGAGACGGCGGGGGGGGAAAACAATACCAGCGGAGCATATACCCCAATACAGAAAATTATCGTATTTCTGCTCTGGAGAGAAGGGGCGCCTTTTAGGCAGCCTCCACGGGGCGGATTCGTGGCCTCGGGGGCGCGCCTGCTGCGCAATTTACGAGGGTTCGTCGCTTCGGGAACGCGAATTTTGCATAATTTACACGGGATTCTGGTGTCGAGGGCGCGAATGTGGCGTAATTTACAAGGGATCGTGGTCTCGGGGGCGCGAGCGTGGTGTAATTTACAAGGGATTCTGGCCTCGGGGGCGCGAACTTTGAGTAATTCACAAAGGATTATAGCCTCGGGGGCGCGAATCTCCCGTATTTTTATGTGTCCCACGCCCCCCGAGGAATTCTGAGAACCCTCCCAGGGGACGCTAACTAGGGCCCTTTTCGGCTCCCCCCCAAAGCAGTACTGTAACAATTGAAACTGCAAGCTGGAACTGGCGCAGGGAGCAGCAACCTTAATCCTCGCAGCCTGATGGCCCCGCGATGGGTTCAGATCCCAACCGGTCGCGTGAGATCCCAACCAGACGGTTCAGATCCCAACCGTCTAAAACACCAGGCACGGTCAGATCCCCACCGAGGAGGAAGCGAATAAAGAAACCATATTGTAATGTTACCATACTTGTTCATTGCTATCTGAAATTGCAGTGGACACCTTACAGGAGCAGATTTACGCCTGAGCTATTGCGACTGCTACTACGACTACTACGACTACTACGACTACTACTACTACTGCTACTACTACTACTACTACTACTACTACTACTACTACTACTACTACTACTACTACTACTACTACTACTACTACTACTACTACTACTACTACTACTACTACTACTACTACTACTACTACTACTACTACTACTACTACTACTACTACTACTACTACTACTACTACTACTACTACTACTACTACTACTACTACTACTACTACTACTACTACTACTACTACTACTACTACTACTACTACTACTACTACTACTACTACTACTACTACTACTACTACTACTACTACTACCTTGGTTTTCGAAAGAAAAATCGCCCATCCGTGTTTCTCGTGGAAGCGTGTCCAACCCCGGGCCTTGAAATTGGGGGCGTGGGGGCGAGCTTGCGCGGCCCTTTGACCGTTGCCAATGGGCGTTTTTATCGAACACACCGGTACTTCTGCTACTACTATTACTACTACTACTACTACTACTATTACTACTACTACTACGCAGTACAATTCGGGGTATTCGTAGCAGTACTTGTGGAGGGTGCAGTGGTACAAGTAGTAGTGGTTGTAATAGTAGTAGTAGTAATAGCGATACTAGGAATAGTAGATGTAGTACGACTAGAAGTCTGAGTATTATTATTATTAGTAGTAGTAGTAGTAGTACTACTACTACTAGTACTAATAGTATTACTATTACTAGTAGCAGTAGCACTAACATTATTTGTAGTAGTAGTAGTAGTAGTAGTCGTAGTCGTAGTCGTAGTCGTAGTAGTAGTAGTAGTAGAAGTAGTAGTAGTAGTAGTAGTAGTAGTAGTAGTAGTACAAGTAGTCGTAGTAGTAGTAGTAGTAGTAGTAGCAGTAGTAGTAGTAGTCGTAGTCGTAGTCGTAGTGGTAGTGGTAGTAGGTCGTAGTAAGAATAGAAGTAGTAATAGTAGTGAAAGTAGTAGTCGTAGTAGTAGTAGTAGTAGTAGTAATAGTAGTAGTAGTAGTAGTTGTAGCAGTAGTAGTAGTACTATTAGTAGTAGTAGTAGTAGTTGTAGTAGTAGTAGTAGTAGCAGTAGTAGTAGTATTCGTAGTAGTAATAGTAGTAGTCGTAGTAGTAGTTGTAGTAGTAGTAGCAGTAGTAGTGGTAGTAGTATTAGGAGTAGGAGTAGGGGTAGTGGTCGTAGTAGTAGTAGTAGTAGTAGTAGTAGTAGTAGTAGTAGTAGTCATAGTAATAGTAGTACTAGCAGTAATATTAGTAGTAGTAGTAGTAGAAGTAGTAGTCGTAGTCGTAGTCGTAGTACTAGTAGTAGTAGTGGTAGTACTAGTAGTAGTAGTAGTAGTAGTAGTAGTCGTAGTAGTAGTAGTAGTAGAAGTAGAAGTAGTCGTAGTAGTCGTAGTCGTAGTCGTAGTCGCAGTAGTCGTAGTTGTATGTTGTAATCGCAATAATACTGGGACTAGTAGCAGGAATAGTAGTAGTAGTAGACATAGTAGTAGTAGTAGTAGTAGTCGTCGTAGTAGTAGTGGTAGTGGTAGTAGTAGTAGTAGTCGTAGTAGTAGTCGTAGTAGTAGTAGTAGTAGTAGTAGTAGTAGTCGTAATCGTAATATTGGTAAGAGTAGTAATACTAATGGTAGTATTAGTAGTTGTCGTAGAAGAAGTAGTAGTAGTAGTAGTAGTAGTAGTAGTAGTAGTAGTAGTAGAAGGAGCAGTAGTACTTGTGGAGGGTGTAGTAGTATGAGTAGTGGTAGTGTCAGTACAATTCGTAGTATTAGTAGTAGTAGTAGTACTTGTGGAGGGTATAGTATTA